GGTGAAAGAATACAACCTTGTCGCACACCTTTCTTAATTTTAAACCATTCAGTGGTCCCATATTCTGTTCAAATAACTGCCTCTTGGTCTACGTACAGATTCCTCATGAGCACAATTAAGTGTTCCGGAATACTCATACTTTGCAATGTTGTCCATAGTTTGTCATGATCCACAGAATCAAGAGCCTTTGCGTAGTCAATAAAGCACAGGTAAACATCTTTCTGATATTCTCTGCTTTCAGCCAAGATCCATCGCACATCAGTAATGATATCCCTCATTCCACAGCTTCTTCTAAATCTGTCTTGAACCTCTGGAATTTCTCTGTCAATGTATGCTTGCAGCCATTTCTGTATTACCTTTAGTAAAACTTTACTCACATGGGATATCAAAGAGATTGTCCAATAATTTCCATGTTCCGTTGGGTCACCTCTCTTGGGAATGGGCACAAATATGGATCTCTTCCAATCAATCAGCCAGATAGTGGTCTTCCAAATTTCTTGGCAGAGATGAATGAGTGCCTCCTGTGCTGTCTCACTGAAATTGACTACATTTGCAGAAAGAGACAATGGAAAACTCCATATCATCTGTCAAAACAAGGCCAGGGCGGTCGGTCAGCAGCGAGGCAGGATCAAGGGACCCATGGGCTCAGAGTCAGTGACAAAGCCACAGAGGACTAGAGCGGAGAGTGAAGAGACCAGCTGATAAGAAGAGGGCAGACAGACGCGGGAACACCCACTCTTGCAGATGATACCCACTTGACCTGGCTTCAATGACTAGATGAACAGAACTCATCCGGAGGAAGAAAGAAGAGGAAAAAAGAAAAAAAAAAAAAAAAGTGTCTTCTGATACAACTTGATGAACTGGACCTACACCTATAATTGCAGTAGCTCAAAAGAAGAAACAATTCCTGGCTACAAGAATTACCTCCACCCCCTTCACACAAAGAGTGGAAAGGGATGGGCAACTTGAACATTGGCTACCCAAAATGGGGGGAGGGATGCAAAGGTAAGAAGTGACTGGCTTACAAGCTTTCAAGAGGGAACCTAGATCCACAGGGTGGGGAGGATGGTAGAGTCTCCAGTGAATAGTACCCAACCTGTCTAGGAAAGTCTGATGAAAAGAAATACAGAAGGGTCTCATGTGATGCAATCGTGAAAATTGTTACCAGGACTGATAATGAGGACTGGAAATGTAAAGGCGGATATTTTATAGCAAGTGACTAACCTTTCCGTCTAGGAGCAGAGGGCCCTGGGACCATCAACGGAGACGCGCGGAGAGCGGGACCCCACCCAGAGAATCAGTGAGGCCTGAGATAGAGACAGAGAGATGACATGAAGAGATGGAGTGCCTGGGGAGTTGAGACCCAGAGAGGGAAAGGGGCTAGGTGCTGAGGACCTTGGGCGGGGGGGATGATGCATAGATGGGATGGTAAATAAGGCAATGAAACAATGTAGGATAGAATGAATGTAAAACTAATGTTCCCCCATGTAAACTATCGCTCAATGCACAATAAAACATTTAAAAAAACAAAACAAAAAAGGCCAGGGGCAGACTGTGGAAAAATCCATCAATTACTCATATGCAAATTCAAACTGAAGCTGAAGAGAATGGAAACAAGTCCACAAGAGTCAAAATATGACCTTGAATATATCTCACCTGAATTTAGAGACCATCTGAAGAACATATTTGATACATTAAACACGAAAGACCGAAGACCAGAAGAGTGGTAGTATGACATCAAGAACATCATACATGAAGCAAGCAAAAAGTCATTGTGTTGTCAGGTGCCATTGAGTCGGAACCGACTTATAGCGACCCCATGCACAGTAGAACAAAACAATGTCCGGTCCTGGGCCAACCTCACTACCGCTGCCACACTTGAGTCCATCAATGATGCCACCTGGCTGATACATCTCGTTAGGGGTCTTCCTCTTTTTCTCTGAACCTCCATCTTACCCAGCATGACATCCTTCTCCAGTGACT